ATTAGAAAGGATCAAATAAAGGATCAAAGATGCTCACTCTTCTTCACACAAGGAACGATGACTATTTGTTTCAATTTTATTACTCACCACCTTAACGGCACTAACATCCAACCTTTTCATGTTCTGAGCTTTATTTTTTATAAAACATATATCATTAATCAACTCAGATTTTGATTATATAACTGATAAAATTGACGAACTTAATGCACAAGACTTCTTCCAATATTGGGTATGAAAGATAATTTTTTATTATATTGATAGAGTTAAGCAATTAGACTTTTTTATGTACTAAAATATATTTATAAAATAGAAATATAGTGTTATATTATTCCCAATTAAGACCACTGTTGATATTATTCCCAATTACTAGTATCTTCTTTATTGTTGGTGTTGTACCGTGGGTGTTGCGATTTAACTTGGGTTGAGCTCCCCCTACACCTAATGTAAGTCTAGCTTAATATGCTAATCTTATATATTAGATTTACAATAAATAGGGTGCTGAGCTAGTCATGATTTCCTGTCCAATAATGTTTTTTAGGTGAAAAATGGATGTATCTAATTTTATTTTGATTTCACTAAATCATAAGCTTATTTCATATTGTGAACATTCAAAAATTATATATAAAAAGGTTAAGTTTGACTCTTGAAACATAATCTACTCAAGATGATCGTCACACGTTTAGTTATCATGCTAGCTATTTTAAGCTGCTTTTATACTCTTAGTGATGGTAACGATTTCACTACACTAGTTCACTAGTTGTTGTTGGTCTCTCTAGCATTATTATTTTTGCTAAATTCAAAGTGAACAAGTGATTAAGTGGTTTTAACATGTTCTATTAGTCAAATATAAACAATATAATTTGCAAGTAGATCATTGACATTAGTGACTAATATCATGTAATCCATATATATATATATATATATATATATATATATATATATATATATAAAAGCTATTGTTGCAAAAAGTATGATCCTTGCTACTGTTGTACAGCGGAGGAGCCGCATCACCGTGAAATATGTCAAGCAAATTGCCTTCGCTGCGATCCCTATTGCTATTATCCGCCTCCATTCTCAAAGCTCGACTAGCTTTTTATATATCTTTCCTGCAATAAATACGGTTTTCTTCTTCCCTTCTTAATTCTTTGTTGTTTCTGTGGCACCGCTACGATGCGCTTATAATGGTTCACATCATAAAGACATGCATTGATGGATGAGACACTTTTAGAGAACTCTTCGCAATTCCCGGTGAAGGATGCCGTTTTGAACATATCTCAACCTCATGAAGACGGCAGGTCGGAAGCAGAGATATTAATTGGGGAGGTCTACTGCGTAAGGGAGCAGCTCTCTCCTCCTGAGGAGGACAGATGAGTTGTGACCTAAGACGTCCGTCTCTCCTTCCCGACTCAACTTCAGCTTTAGAATTGCTACCCATTCCACAGGTCACCCTCACATAAATACTTCCTGTTGTGACGGTGTGAATCCGGGAAGAAAGAGCAATGTGAAAGACAACGCAATAGAAACAATACGAAATTTACAAGCCAGAAGTAATCGAGTGGAAATAAAACCAAAAGGTATCAACAGTTCTTTCCAGAGGCACCCAAACAGTCGAGCTCGTCTGTCAATTCTATCCCACAGGAGGATGCACCGCAAATCCATAGAACGAAGATTTTTCTACGATCCCTAATGCATTTGTGTCTTAAAACTCTTGATATTTGAATCTTGGGCGTAGGTCTTCATGACATGGTAGTAATGCCGTGATAGAATAAAGGACAAGCATTTAAATCATACAAGATCAATTTCCAGCTAAATGTGCAGACTGGAGACATACAAGACGATCTTGGTGAGGGTTAACAAAAGTGTAGATGGAGTCCAAAATGAAGCCTGAAACTTGAGGGGCTAGAAGCAAAGCTACTCTCAGTTAATCTGGCCTCCTCGACCTTCACTTGGGCGTGGCCTTCTTGGCCTTCTTGAAGCCATAGCGGTCTTTACATCGGCTCCTTCTTCCTGCATTTGTATCTCAGATAATTCATGATTCAAGATTAGATAGGCACCAAGTAATAAACTACTAGATGATGTGCAGAGTGACGCAGAGAGAGAGAGAGAGAGAGAGAGAGAGAGAGAGAGATTACAATGGAGTCATCGCCATTCTCTTCTTCTGTAGAAGGATCCTGAGGGTCATCGGAAGAAACGGAGCAGCCCAAGCAACGAGCACAGGCACTTACGATGTAGAGCAGCAAAGAGCAGGGATGACCAAAGCCAAAGGGTACCTCACTACAAGAGGATTCTTCCATTTCTTTGGGCACTTTAGGTCTCTCTCTCTCTCTCTCTCTCTCTCTCTGCTTTCGGCTTTGGTGTTCCACCACTGAGCTCAGATTTATTACAACAGGGATCAGAGTTCATGTTCAGTGACCTATGTAGCCTTGTATATTCTTCTATTACAGTCACACATACATATACGTACGTCAAAGTTGATGCGTATTTTACGTTAAACGTGAAAGTTTACATACATCCCAAGAATCTCATGGGACATATATAGTACCTTCTTTCCAATAAATCTCATACATGTTAAACTTTAGCATGCATATGGTCATTGATCAGGTGGAGCACAATGTACACATCCAGTATAAACCTGCGAGAACTAGACATGATTGAGATACTTGAAATGCAGTGGAGATGTCCAGGTAAATTTGACCCGAGCTTGTAAATGGCTGTGGCAGAGACTGGCCAACGGAGACAAGCAATAAACAGCACTTCTGCAACCACACCTAACCCATTAAAGAATGTCCTCCAACTCAGATATCCACGGTATAAATGTCGCATGGAATAATAAATAAGCTTTGCTGCAGCATTATTTAATCCTATATAGCAATCAAGGTTGACCAAATCAAAAGGTTCATTAAGCCACTATATATATAAGAAAGGCATGATTCAAGTGACGAAGTCCATTATCCTATTTGTTTCCTCCATCATGTAATCGCACGTCACTGCCAGTTCTTCCCTCAAAGATGTTGCTCTCATCGAGTTCAAAGGAGTGCCTATCAATAAACCCAGAAGCAGTCGTGGCTTCATGGATAACCTTGGATTTCCTGGGATCTTTAAATGGTTTCTCCGATGCATCGATCGGCAGCAACGATGCTTATGCCACTGGTAAAGTGGGTAAGCTCAAGTTGCTCAAGATAGAGACTTAGACATGTAAATAAATGACTGATGATCTCAAATCAAATAAATAATGTTCATTCTTTACGAGCAAGCTGAAATAGGAACAGTACAACTCAGCTTAGCTTGCAGGCAGATTTTAGAATGATACGCTGCTTTCTACATTCTTGATAGCAGCCTAAACCCACCAAATTTGCTGTCGGAAGTTCTCCAAAGGATTGGTTTTAGTACACAAGTCTTTACTAAATCTATTAAGGAATATTGACAAGATCTTTTGGGTTAATTTTGTTTGTTGGTCAAAATACTTATAATGTTTTCCACTGATAAGTTATTTAAGTCATAAATCTTATTTGATCTAAATTATTGATCAAAATATTTAAAATGAGACTAATAATAATACATTCATCGGATCATTATAAGTCAATCTTAATCGTATCCACTTCTAATATAGAATTAATCAGAGATATTATAACTATCCACTTCTAATAATAATATTCTAACCATTTTATTTTATGCTTAGGTTTATAAGAAAATTTTAAATAAAAAATTACATCAAAAAATAAAAATTTCCATCAACCACATAATGCTTTGGAATCATTTATTCTAACATAATAGATGAGATCATGTTGACTTAAGGATTGATGAGGACTCACGACTTTTTAACATTGTGTCAATTGGAATCAAATGGTGTTTTTAGACGCCTCTTTTGGCTTGTAGTGCCAAAAAAATCTACTTTAGGTATTTTAGGCCCACAAAGAGTTGTAGATGTATGTTTATACGAAACTTATGTTGGATTCCAAATCTCTTAAAAAGACGAAAAAGTATTCACTTTAATTAAGGACTTTAACCCTTTTAGCCTTCGTGTCTGGGATCCTTCGTGGAGCACTCGTGCCGACGCGGCATGTGACGTGAGGGAATAAAAAGAAAAGGCGGCTTCTACGCGCACCCACGTGGTCACTGGAGAGAACAACATGGGACCCAATGTGAGGCGCGTAGAGCAACAGATGGATAAGAGAAAGGGCATTTTATTTGGGTTCAAAAAGCGACTGGGGGGGTCCCACTCCGAAGCGCGGATCGAATAGCGCCACGTCATCAACGTCGCGGGTTGACACCACCACGTGTACTGGTCGTCGATCCCTAGATTTTTATCGATTTATTTCTCACTTGATAAGAAGATAGCAACAAAGAAACCAGAAAAGATTCACCCAAGATCTGCCCTTCCTGTGAGTCCCACATTAAATTCACATCCTTCTCCGGTCACAATGAAGGGATGGGAGGAGAGTACATCGTTAAGAGTGGCTAAGGAATTGATGTAGTCCGTGGAATCACATTTAAGCACCCTACGCAACTCACACGGACGTCGTCGCCGCACGTGTTTCACAAAAAGCAACAATTTCCTATCATATTCTGCGTACCCGATTTCTTACCTACCTTTTGATTGGATTGACTGCGAGGCCCTGTATAGGTCCAAGAGACAGGTAGGCCCAGCAGTCGTGATAACGAACCGTTGCTCGCCGTCCACCTTTCCCACGCCAATCGAAGCCCCACAGGGTAGGCAGTCGCTCTCAACAGGGATCCACGTGTCACCGTGTCTCTTTCTCTCTGTGGGCCCCATCGATAAACCGCGCACAGCTCGGACGCGTCCTCTGACCGCGACTGGTCCGGTCAGGACCCCCGCGTGAGCCGCGGTTGCGGCCTTCTCCCTGCCTTCCCCCTTGCCAACAACGAGAAGGATTCGATCCAACCGCGTGCACGCGCCGCGCCCCTTCCAGCCACCTTCTCCCTCGCCGCAACATATAAATCAGCTCGACCCATCGCCATATCCCATCATCACCAAATCAAAATTCTTGAGCTCGAGTTGCAGACGAACGAAGGAAACCCCCGCCGCCACTGGGATCATTCATGACCACTTATCAGACTCCTTCGCTTGTCCCCGCCGCCTCGTTCGACGACGACCTCTTCTCCTATTACTACTCCTTTTTCCACGACCCCGCCACCGCCGTCCTCCCCGATCCTCAACCCCATTCCGCTCTCCCCCTGGCCATGGAATCCAAAGTCAAGAAGCGCCCGCGAGCGGATGACTTATCCCCCAGCCGGCTCGTTGCCTTGAAGCCCTTCGCCTCCTCTTCCCCCCCGCACGCCGACGATGACGCCTCAGGGGAGGAGCCACAGGCTGCGCCGCCGCCGTTGCAGCCCGGGCAACGCCGGCTCTGGGTCAAGGACCGGTCCCGCGACTGGTGGGACCGGTACAACCATCCGGACCTCCCGGAGGACGAATTCCGGCGCGCCTTTCGGATGTCCCGCGCCACTTTCGACTTCCTCTGCGAAGAGCTCGGCTCCGCCGTGGCCAAGGAGGACACGGCGCTCCGCTCTGCCATTCCCGTCCGGCAGCGCGTTGCCGTGTGCGTGTGGCGCCTCGCCACCGGGGAGCCTCTCCGGCTTGTCTCCCGGCGCTTCGGACTTGGTATCTCCACCTGCCATAAGCTCATTCTCGAGGTCTGCACCGCCATCCGGAACGTGCTTATGCCGCGATCGCTCTTATGGCCCGGCCCATCCGATGCGGCCGCCGGAGCTGCGCGCTTCGAGGGTATCTCCGGCATCCCCAATGTCGTGGGTGCCATGTACACAACTCACATCCCCATTATCGCCCCCAAGATCGGCATCGCCGCCTACTTCAACCGCCGCCACACCGAACGCAACCAGAAGACATCCTACACCGTCACCATTCAAGGTGTCGTCGACCCCGACGGCGTTTTCACCGACGTCTGCATCGGCTGGCCCGGGTCGATGCCCGACGACCAGGTGCTCGAGAAATCGGCATTGTACCAACGCGCCAACAGTGGCTTCTTGAACCACCAATGGATTGTGGGCGGCGCCAGCTACCCTCTGCTGGACTGGGTGCTGGTCCCGTACGCTCAGAAGAACCTGACATGGGCGCAGCACTCCTTCAACGAGAAGATCGGGGAGGTGCAGCGGGTGGCCAAAGAGGCCTTCACCAAGCTGAAGGCACGGTGGGGATGCCTGCAGAAGAGGACCGAAGTGAAGCTGCAGGACTTGCCGGTGTTCCTCGGGGCATGCTGCGTACTTCACAACATATGCGAGATGAGGAAGGAGGAGATGGTCCCGGAGCTGCGGTTTGAGCTGGTGGACGACGAGATGGTGCCGGAGAACAGCCTCCAATCGATGAGCGCCATGCAGGCTAGAGATAGCATTGCTCATAATCTGCTGCACCATGGCCTTGGTGGAACAGCTTTCTTGTAGGACCTGTTACAATCCAGCAATCTGCTACTCTCTTTGGTTCCAAAGATGGAGAAGCGACAGTCCAGTTGCTTTTGGTTTCAGTTGAAGATAGAGAAATGAAAACCTATGGACAAGGAGTACATGTTCCTGGGTGTAGCACACAAGGAAAGACAGAGTAGCTGTTCTGATTTGTTGATCAAGCATCTTGATCCAAGTTGGCCATTAAAAGGCAAAATTGCCTGAGCTTCCCAAATGTAAGTGCCAATAGTGCAAGGATCTGAATTCATCTTGTGTAGCACAATCTTTGATTCTGGTGTTTCACTGCAATGGGAGGTATAAATATTGTGGTGTTGGAGAATTAGACTGGAATTAACTTGGTTTCCTCTGTTGAGCAGCTAGCTATCTGTTCTTGCTTGTGCAAGTTGATTTGAGCTTTTGCAACTTCAATTGTATCTTGAAACAGCTGGGAACATCAGCTAATCTGGTTGGATGGCACAAGGAAATGCGACCATATAAATCTGGGAAATTAATAATTTGGCACAAGCTAAATCCGGTTAGCTGGAACATCAGCTAATCAGGTTTGCAGAGACAACAATAATTTGGTTTCGACATGAGCTACTTCACTCACACTGTCATGACTTCAGCAATCGCCATGGAGAATTGTATTTCTACTGAGATTAAGATCATGGATGGAGATTCTCTGTGATCTTTAGTCCAATACATTACCTGATGATGAAAAAATGCAGGACATGCATGCTAAGACTCATTACGGTAATGCTCTGCTTGCAAGAACAGGGTGAACACTATACGGTAATGCTCTGCTAGCAATTCTAACATCTTCGACATGTATTTTTCTGGATTCTCCATGGATCGAGGACAATCTCGAGTTACCAACAGTCCTCAGACCTGTCCGGAGAAGCACTAGTAGCAAGCAGAATATGTCAGTCAACTGCAAAATTGATGTGGCAACCCCATGATAGCAGTAGATCAGGCTTGATATGTGCTTAGAGGTTGTGGATAATTAGGACAGCAGCGGCAGCAGAAGATACGGAAGGTAGGAGATCAGTGTTTGTCCAAAAACGAAGTCGTAAGGAGCAGAGGATGGTAACATGCAATTCCTTGGGAGAGAGCTCCCATGGCAGCAGGGAGAAGTGAGTTTCTCATTCAAGTAGCAGAGGAGAGGAGAAGGATAGCCTTCTAGCAGTACTGTGCAAGACCTGCAGCATGGCAATGTAGTAGTAGTATTTAGCATGGGATTAGTAGTCAATTCTAATATTGAATCTAATGTAATGACTAGAGACTTCTATATTAGTTTATAATCATGCAGATAAGCATAATCTTAGTTACATCTTTCTCTTTCTGCATTGATGATTTAGATTAGCTAATAGCAATTCTAATTATTTTTTCCTTTGGCAGGCTTCTATAAGGGAAGATGGAAACTACATCAGCTGGATGAGGGAACATTGTAGTCTGATTATTGATACCATTTTATGAGAACAGATACTGCCATCTATCTTATCAAACATGATTTAGTAACTATTGAAATCACTTTATCATTGTCAATATTGATTGTATTTGTGAAGAAAATTTGAGAAAGAATCCTAACATAGGATTCCTTTAAATTTTTTACCAGATACTCAAAATTATACAGCAAGTACTCCAATGCTCCATCAGCCTGGCATTAGGTTTGGTGTTGCTGTTTGAGAAGAAGAACATAGCATATCTGTAGCAAATCTTCCTATAATTGGAGGAAGGTTCTGAAGAAAGGTGACCATTCTATTCTCAGCTTCTCATCTGCACCATTTGTCTTATTTTCCAGATTTGAACTATGAACTACTAACATAGAGACTCCTCCTATCAGTCCCACAGAATAAAGCTATCATGTTTCTGCTGTAAAATCATATATCTCAGGAGAAAAATGTGTTCTTTCCAAGAAACAAAGGTTGAATTTTCATTTAAGAATGTTGAATTTCTGAAGTCAACCTTAAATTGTGTTGCTGGTTGCTATTATGTTGCTTAAATGGATCCATTTTGTCAAGCACATTAATGCTCTATCTAATTCGCTTATGACCCAAAGATGACAGTATATGCAAAATGTTGGATTAGTTTTTACTCATACAGTCATGACTTCATCTTTTCTTTTTTTTGTTAATTGTTATTATAATATTTATCAGTTTGTGATTTGATCACTCTGTCTTTCGCAAATGACTTGCTCTTTGATCTTACACTCTCGATCGAGTTCGATAAGATGTCTTACTTTGAATTCAAGAATTATTTTATGAGAAAATTACTTTGGATATTAAAGAAAAGGACAAGAAATATTATTTTATATTATATTTTATCTTTTTTTCATAGAAATGAAAATTATAAATAGGTAAGATGATATCAAGGACACATAACTAGAATTAAGATTTTGATATTTGATAGCAAAGTCTTAGAATCGAATTTTATCTTCATCACCTATCTTAAAATATTTATATATATATTAATATAGTGGGCGCTAAATATCGAACAATATCTTAGAAATCAAAATATGCTTTTCCCAAGCAGACCACCTTGTTCTCGGGCGCAGGGCAATTCCATTGAGGGAAACCCAACAGGTGAACAAGATCGAGAGTCATATGATGTGCTGATTCTTTCTGATCGATCCAGGTAGGAAAAGTGCAGCTTGTGATGAGGAACTCCGTCACCAGTCACCTCAACATCTGATTCCAACTCATCTCAAGGTTTTTGGCCACACCTCCACCATGGGAAAAGAAGATGAGGTGGCTGCTGTACTCCATCCTCGGCATGCGATCCTCTATTGTAGGTAATCCGTGAGATCTTTGCTGGTTGTGGCACGACACTTGTGCAGGAAATCGTAGCTAAATCTTGTGTGATAATATTTGCTCCTGTTTCTTTCTCAAGGAAAGCATTTGTTGAAGCTGAATTGGCTGTGGCTACATTGATGCAGTTGATGAGGACAGATGAAGATTTTGTGGAGGTGTGGGGTTTGGGGTCCCAAACTTGTCTCCTAAAGACATTCTCTCATCCAAAATGTCAAACTCACCTACAAACCATGTGAGAGAATTATTTCTTTTTGGTCTTTTCTTTTTTTTTCTTCTTTTCTTCCACTTATGTGTGGATGTCAATTCAAAAATAATCGAGATCTATATTAATTTTTACTAAATTTATTTTTATCTTCGTCGAGATTGACTTAAGTATCAAAGAGACTGGATTAATAAACATCGATCGGACACTTACACTCGAGCTTAATAATAATTATCTCAATGTTACATTCTGACCGACAAAGTTTAGAATATTGCATGAATGAAAACTCAAAATGAGTGTACAAAACTTGTGCAAAAGAATCCAACATGAGAATAATCAGAAGTAGATTTTTGGTCTCTTTGGGGATTACTGACTTATCCCTTTCACCAACTCCACCGTCTGCCATCGAATATATCCCTCGTCATGTGAGAAGTCAAACATTGTCGCTCACCACCAAAACTTCACACTGTCATTTGGGGAGTCGCATTCCAAGTTGACAATAGGTTCATAGGTCATACACCAAAAGCCTTGGCATTAGGAAACCTTCATGCAGCTTCTCTCCCATCATACAGCTCTGTGTTGCACCGATAACAGTGGTCCATAAGGCCGATGTACGCATCTCCAAACTCTAACCTATAATTGTACCTCTCAGCTTTAACTGAGCTGAATAGTTGTCGTTTCCATGGTTGCCACCACAACTCCATTCCATTCCATGCATCCGTTTGCTTGCCTAAGTATACACACGCATACCAATGTTGTGCATTCTTATGAAATATTTATTGTACGCATATACATAACATTTTTTTTACTATGAATATAAGATTATATTTGATTCCAAATTGAACGAAAATATATAAATTAACCTTTTTTTTTATAGAAAATATAGTTATTAAACAAGAATTTTAAATCTTATCCTATACCAGCGGTATATTCGCATGTTGGATCTTCTTGCATTGTTCGAGTCAGCTTCTTCTGCGGCCATGTGTTTGTTCCTCTTCGGCTCCTTTTTCTCTGTGACTTCCTTTACAGCCCTTGTGCTCACGTACATTGGAAGATGGATGATCGGATCTCTCCGTGTCGTCCTCCGTATCTTTGACAGGGACCAACATCTGTCCCCAAACATATCCCCAGGATTTCCTCTGCACTCTCCTCCTCCGCTCTCCCATGCCTGTTTACCTTCCACGCCACTGTTGTCTTCCCCTTCCTTCCTTCCTTCCTCCCCTGGTTATAAATAGCCCCCCAGCTTTTCTTCCATTCTTCGCACACAGCTATCTCGAATCACCTCAGCCGATGTCTCCGCAGAGACTTAGCCACATACCACCATCCTTTCTGATAACTCTCCCGCAGGGCCTCCTCGAGCTGGATATCGCCGATAGGATCTACGTGGATCCCGACACCACCACACGGTTCTCTACCGACTTCGGCCGCCTCACCAGAGCGCCCCCTTCGGCCGTGCTCTACCCGTCGTCCCCCGACGACATTGCCGCCCTCGTCCGGTTCTCCTACTTCTCACTCCACCCCTTCACCGTCGCCGCTCGAGGCTGCGGCCACTCCGTCAGAGGCCAGGCCCTTGCACCTGGCGGCGTGGTCGTCGACATGCCATCACTAGGCCGTGGCCGCGACGACCGGATCAATGTGTCACGGGGCGATGGGTCCTCCTTCTGGTACGTCGACGTCGGAGGGGAGCAGCTTTGGATCGACGTCCTGCATGAAACGCTCAAGCATGGTCTTGCACCCCGTTCATGGACTGATTATCTCCACCTGACCGTCGGCGGGACTCTCTCGAACGCCGGAGTAAGCGGCCAGGCCTTCCGGCATGGTCCACAGATTTCCAACGTCTACGAGCTGGAAGTCGTCACCGGTAGAATCTCTACATGTCTTTGCAGCCATAACATATACCACCGGAACAATTGCTCTCGTTCAAGCGTGTTCAGCCTTAAATTCCTGATTGATCTGATCGTTGGTTGTTCGACAGGGAAAGGTGAGATGATGATATGCTCCCATAACGAGAACCCAGCGCTGTTCTACGGAGTCTTGGGAGGTCTTGGCCAGTTGGGCATCATTACCAGAGCTCGGATCGCCGTGGAGCCTGCACCGGAACGGGTCCGGTGGGCGCGGCTCATCTACACCGACTTCGTCTCCTTCACCCGGGACCAGGAGCTTCTGATCTCGATGTCGGAGGAGGGATTTGATTACGTGGAGGGATCGCTGCTGATGATGGATCATAGCCTAATCGGCAACTGGAGATCTTCCTTTTTCTCGGACAGGGACTGGGAGAAGGTAAAGCTGCTGGCATCCCAGTTCGGTGCCATCTACTGCTTGGAAGGAGCTGTGTACTACGAGTTGGCCACGGCATCTTCGGTTGATCAGGTAAAAGTACTGATCTTGCTTTCTTCTCCCATGCAACATGTTGGCCGTGTACCCACCATCATATCTTCCCAGGACCCACGCCGCTGTACTGCTGAGATCCCCTTAGATTGTTAGTTCTCTCCCAAAGTTGCAGAGCCCAACACCCATGCAAACTGGTGTCCCATCTCATTCGTTCTAGATGGCTCCTCGATGCCGCCCAGCCTCCTGCTCGTGTTCATCCATGCATCTCTCTCTCTCTCTCTCTCTCTCAGAGGGTCTTCTCGAAAGTTCCATATAATTTGTAGCTTCAAGCTACTATTGATGTTGTTAAACGAACTGTCATAAGGGTACATGTTTCCTCTGCCTGTGAACATAGCTTTGACTTTAGTACAGGGACGGTAATTATCGCCGGTACTGAACATTCTTGTTTCCCCCACAGAAACTTGACTCCTTTCTTAAGCAGCTGAGCTTTGTCCCCGGCTTTGCCTTCGCCAAAGACGTCTCCTACATGGCTTTCCTCGACAGAGTCCACGACGGGGAGATGAAACTACGTTCCATGGGACTCTGGGATGTCCCCCATCCATGGCTGAACATATTTGTGCCCAAGTCTAGAATACGAGACTTCGAGATCGGGGTGTTCAAGGGCATCCTCAAGCCTAACAATTCCATGGGGCCAGTGTTGATATACCCCTTGAAGAAGAACAAGTACGTAGAACCCATTCCCGCCCTTCCAAACCTCTGGTTCAATGATTCATTAACTGTGCCAACAGCGAAGATGCATGCATGGGTGCAGGTGGGATGAAAAGATGTCGGCGGTGATCCCAGACGAAGAGATCTTCTACTCGATAGGTCTGCTGCGGTCTGCGATAATGGGTGATTGGGAGCACTTGGACGACCAAAATGATGAGATACTGAGGTTCTGTCATCGGGAAGGAATCGAGTATAAGCAGTATTTACCTCACTATACAGCACAGACCGATTGGATGAAACACTTCGGCCTCAAATGGAACGTTTTTGTGGATCTAAAGAGGCGATACGACCCGAAACTAGTATTGTCACCAGGCCATCGTATCTTTACATCCTCGCTTATAGAACATGTCTCGGAGCAAGAGATACTTTTTCTCAAGCTTTATTAGCTTGGGAGGGAGAAGACATGAATGAGCTCCCCAGCGCAGGTCATCATCTTAAGCCATAATCTAGACCTCCTTTTCTTTCCGAGAAACAGTATCGGCAATGTCTCACTTGCATTGCATGTCCAGAAATCTAGCGTACTTCACTTGCATTACATATCAAACTTAAGTCTCTTTTATAGAGGTATATCTACTTTTTCTTGAAAGTGGATATCTGTCTATCTTGTTAACATATACATATATAATTATAGATCGATCGAGAGTTAAGTATCACACGTAGCTGTCCCAGGAAGAAGTATTACGTGAAGGCGACGTAGTCTTTTTCATGTAAACCGAGGTAGAACAGCAGAGCGGTGACATCTTTCAAGTCGCATGCTTCCCATGATTAGTCTCCGTCAATGGGCACGCAAAACAAAGCACACTAATGGTGCCTCGATCCTCACCCGCCTGTGATAGATAGATGATCGCCATGGAGATGTGGCACGCCCCAGGCCGGTGCCATTAAGATTCCTCTGCGATCGGTGCGGTACCGTCTGAAACATGCGTGTCTCGGAGTTAATCATGAAGGGGAGAATATGGTGGGATTGCAGGCCTGGGGAGAAAGGGAAGATGAGATCTTCTACTTCAGAAATGGGACGGAAATAGTTTCGCATGACTTTTATGATGTCCTTCCTGCAATGGACCACTGGCAGCCATCACAGTGATTGCGCCAAAGACCGATGCAGATCTTGGAAGAACAGACTCAAGATTTCCGAACGCATCATTGGATTCTCCCGTTTTCTGGATATGACCACCGCCTTCATGTCTCCTTTTCTCGCTTCTCATCTGTACGAAACACCGACGATCTGCCACGATTACTATGATCTGATGCTTTTCCATTAAAACGGCAGCACTGCTTTAGTGATTTCGTTCATATCTGGACATCAATCCGATCGAGTGATGCATGGACTAATGAGGATTTACGATTGATCACATTAATCTGAATGGCGGCATCTTTGACTAATGATCATAAAGATAATCATAAATTGATCAGAAAGACAATCTCACTTTCCTTCTAATATTTGAGGTTTTATCTTTTTAAGTTATTTAAAGCTTGTACTCATACATCTCGAGTTATTAACTTGAGCATTAGAGAGAATCAAATCGAAAAATCTCACTCGATCTCGATCTTTATATAATTATATTTTCTCGAATCACGTTTGAATACAAATCTACATGAGAACAATTCTACAAGGCTATATACACAATACATCTGTCTTTTTGGGGATGGAGGTGTGGGAATGGAATTTGTTGTGCAATAGGTCATCAATATATATACACAATAAATCTGTCTTCAAATGTGAAGCATTAAAGGAACAAATTCAATAATATTAAAGGAACTATTATCAATGGCCAAACATTCACCATGGCATATCGACTATATCATTGGGATGTTAAGCATCTCCTCTCCTCCTCCTCTTGTGACTCACTTCTTTCACCGTTCTATATTGCTTTCGTAAATGTAATAAAGCAAGAATTGATAGTTGTAATTTTGTATGGTAGGGATCCTTTTCTAGTGAATTATTTATACCGCTCCAAGATGAGTCACACAAGTCTTTTTCGTAGAACTGTGAAGATCTCATAGCTTATTTTCTTTCATAAAAAAAACTCGAATAAACCTGATATAACTAGAAGATTGTACCATACTCATACCGATCAAGGATTGTACCATACTCATACCAAACAAATATATACTAAACGGTGCCAAATAGTATCAATGATAATGTTTCAAAGAGAAGAGGAAGACTCATGGAGGAGGCCATATGAGAGAATGACAAAAAAAAAAAAAAAAGAGAGAGAGAGAGAGAAGAGAAACAATGGAGGAAGAGTAGGAAAAAGATGAAGCGATGAAGAAGAAGGGAGAAGATCAAGAGGGAGTGTACCAAAGAGATAAACGATGGCGATAGCAACAACAACAACATCACGGATGAGAGCAACGCCTACAAGAAGAGGCCTCAAGTTAACAAGCTCTAAAACGACGACATCGCACTCAATGCCTACAAGAATCTATCAAAAGATGAACCTGTCAGCTTGAGTTTTCACTTACATGTGCTTGATATTATGGTGGCGACGTATTTTGTTTGGTAAGTGCCGCAAATCATCCAGCTTGGTACACGTCAAAGAGAAACCTGATACCAGTGAACACAAGACAGCATTTCAATGTTAATAATTCAGATACACTACTAAACACTAATAGTGTCTAATGCTACTGGTTAATATTCATCAGGATTTAGCAGAAATTCCTACACAATAGTCTTTATTTCTTATGAAAAGCATAAATAACAGTGACAGCAGTAATTTGGTTTCTCAACAAATACATCCACAAAACATGACTAGATGTTGTATAAAACATAATTTTACAAAAATCTATATAGGAATTAATTCTCCGGGATACGGTAGCAAAAGCAAGGGGATCAAACACTCAAGCAAGAAACAACCCAAGTTTCTGAGGTTATTATTCATGCCGCGCCGTGGCAGATGAAAAGTTGAAGTTGTACAGACAGAATTAGTGTGCTGTATCACTGCTGTGGCAGATGAAAATTTGAAGTTGTACAGACAGAATTAGTGTGCTGTATCCCTGCTGTAATAGTGATCTAAGGTCTTTGCAGGTATGCGGTGGAGAAGCTCGCGAGGGAAAATACGTAGAAGCGTCCATGCGAGATCCAGCGACTGGAAGATGTTTCGAGTGTCATATGCTCCTTGAGTAACAAATTTCCTTTCAAACTTGTCCAGAAACTCGAGATAAAGCTGTGAACAACAACAATCACGACATCGTAAGCATGACGCAGTTTCATCCCTGAAATACACATGGACAGGCAAGCAAGCAGGAAGGCACAGAGAGAGAGAGAGAGAGACCAAATCCTCGGATGACAGTGCCTCCTCTCCTACGACTGCCTTCATAGCTTGAACATCCTTTCCAATCGCATAATTAGCATAGAGCTAGAAAATGAAGGCAATTAAATGAATGGATATTTCAATGAAGAAACATATATAATTAGTATGGATACCTATATCATTCATAACAAACCTGGTTAGAGACATCAGCATGATCACGCCGGGTCATGCCCTCACCAATAGCACTCTGCAAGGAAACCAAGAGGAAAGTGGTATTCATAGACTACTGGCTACCTGATTACCTTCATGATTGACAGAAAGAAATGAACATTAAATCCATATCAGGTAAAGAAATTAACCTTCATTAGCCGAGATAAAGAAGGGAGGACATTGATAGGAGGATATATCTTCAAACATAGCAAAGATAATTAGTCAGTGAACCCATAAGAAAAAGTAAATAGTTCCACAATACCCAGTAACATAGCAGAAACCAGAGAGATCATCCATAGCACACTAATGATGGAAAAAAATGGGCCCTTTGTGATAGCAATGTATGCAGCATGTACCTGCCGATTATGGAGCTGCCTATCGATGTAAATTTGACCTTCAGTGATATAACCAGTAAGATCAGGTGTCGGATGGGTAATATCTGTACAAAAATAGAACCTTTCAACCAAAATTAGAGCATTTCTCTCCCTAACTATACTGCAACTGGGAGAAAATACAGCAAAGGCTCCCATGAATTATTCACACAGCAGTCTGGTATACAAGCATCATGAAAATGCAAGAGACGATGTAGATATCTCTTGCAGCTACCATATTAGAATATTTGTGGAAGTTCCTGATCCGAATTTTATATGAAGAAGGCAAGAAAAGGAAAAAAAAAAGATTATTAGCATAGTACAAAAACATGATATCTAACAAATACCATCATTTGGCATGGTTAAGATGGGTATCTGTGTAATGGAGCCTTTTCTTCCTTCTATCCGTCCAGCACGCTCATATATAGTTGCCAGATCAGTGTACATATACCCTGGATAACCACGTCTACCTGGTACTTCCTCTCGGGCTGCTGATACCTAAAAGCATAATGATATCGATTAGGAACAAAAATAGCTCATCAATTTAGTAGTTGAAAATATTGCTTGGAGTAGCTTCATGCATAACCAGATGAAAATCCATAAAAGGGAAAAATATAACAATAGATATCCAATGCAATTTGTTGAATGAAATTAGAAGTCTACTGGTTGAAGAAAGATGAAAACAAAAACTGAAGGAATTGAATAGATTGAACCTATACTTATGTACTAGATTTTTTTTAATCTATAACCTTTTATGCAGGAGAAAATATCTGCAATGTAGAAGCCTTTGTTTAGCTCAAGCAGAACAGTTCAGTTTCAGGAAACAAGCATATGATATACATGAATGCAAGGCCACGCTCATGCTGCTGCCAAACCTTCCACCAGTGCATGCTGGCACATGGTACCACCAGAACTGATGGAGACATTTTCAGGAGATAAATACAAAGTAAACCCATGAATACGCAGATTGTTTAGATGACATGAAAAATTTATCATACAATTTACAATTTGAAGGTAGATATTAAATGCATATTTTCATGTCTGAGATAGTTTTGTTAAGAGGACAAACTCAGTGTATGAGACTCGACAGAGTGTTGTTGATTTTAATTTAAAAAATACCTCACGAAGTGCATCAGCATATGAGCTCATGTCAGTTAGGATGACAAGGACGTGCTTCCCACATTCATAAGCTAAATATTCTGCTGTTGTGAGTGCAATTCGTGGAGTAATAATGCGCTCAATGGTGGGGTCATTTGCCTGGCCAAATAACATAAGAACAAATGAATGTTAAACAGTAATATATCCTTTTCATTTAAAAAAAAAGAAGATTGTTAAACCATTTTATAACCTGTTAAACATTGCAGAAAAGTATAGTAAAGGAGAAGCACAAGTTTACTAACAGAAATACAAAGGGTGCTTACCAAATTCAGAAAAAGAGTCACTCTCTCCATCGAACCATTTTCTTCAAAATCACGTTTGAAAAATTGTGCAGTTTCCATATTGACTCCCATAGCAGCAAATACGATAGCAAAATTGTCCTCTTCTTTATCCTGTTGTTAAATAGCACTAGATATTTCAATCCCAATTCAGAAAGAAAATGAGTTCTACAAGATCAGATCACCTGAACATGGCTTATGGTTGTAAGTTATCCTTCAAGAAATGTACAATCTAAAAGTTACAGTAGGAGCCTATTATATGCCAACCAAGAAAATTTTGATTACTTATCATTGTAATCATTGTAATCCTTGGTACGACGATAAGGTTGTTCCTTTGCGACATGGGAGACCAAGGTTCGAGTCACGAAAACAGCCTCTTTAAATATTTAAAGGTAAGGCTGTGTACACTGACCCTCCCCAGACCCCGCATTGGCGGGAGCCTCGTGTATTGGGTACACCCCCCCTTTTTTGATCTTTGTAATCATCAATAGTTCAACAGCAGTTACTTGTTACTTCAGGATTATACAATCAAGCAGTTCCATTTATCCAACCCAGCAGCAACAATATTTGAAGCACATATGACACATAAAAAAGCTTGACATATGTTGCTTATAATCCAATGCATCCATTTTTTGTGCTACATTTCAAGGCCTGATAAGCAGAGCCGATGTCAAATCAGGTACCACAATAAGTAATTTCTGCATCTTGAATCTAAATACAAGATACGAGCAGGTCTTGGCAATTTTAATAGCGCAAAGTAGCCAAGTCTACAGGTTGTGCTAACGTAAATGAATTATTGTTACTGGAACTCATTCCTTAGAAAAAATGTCTCTGGTTACTTCTTCAGAAATGCAATAATCATAATTTGTGACAAGAACTATCATGCTGGTTGGGACGTGCCAAAATTATGTCAAGTTGTGTCTGGGCCAAGTTTTTGGATAGCCCCAGCTGGTACAAGTGGTATATTGAACAGGACAGCATGGTGGTTTGTAAGGTGCCAAAACGGCATGGGTGTGTGCCCATGCCACAAAATTACAATCCTTTCTGCAAAGAAAGTTATTTAAAACTTGTACAAAGCTAAGTTACCATAATATGTGCCTTGGTTATTAATTACATGAGATTGATGGATCCGAAATACCTCCAAAAGATTGTCAGATTTTTCTAGACGCTTTACAAGACCAGCCTGGCGACAAATCTGGGCAGCTATTTCATTGTGAGGGAGACCAGCAGCAGAAAAGAGAGGGATCTTCTGTCCTCGAGCAATGGAATTCATAACATCAATGGTAGATATTCCAGTTTGAATCATTTCTTCAGGATAGGTTCTTTCACTAGGATTAATAGAACTTCCTGCAACAGATTTAAGTTAACTCCTTTTGTAAGAAAGAAACAGTCAGTACAACATCAAGTTATAAATCACTAATCACCAACTTACCAGATATATCCAAATAAGCCTCAGGCAAGATTGGAGGGCCATTATCTATTGGCTTTCCAGAGCCATTGAAAATGCGTCCAAGCATATCAAGAGATACAGGGGTTTTCAAAACCTTAGTCAAGATAAGAAAGAAATTAGTGTGGTCACACAGCAAAGACTAACAGAAAAGCACATAAAAGCAGTCTTTCAAAAATTACAAAGAAACTTAATTCCTAACAAGCAGAATGAAAATGCAATATAAACCAACTGTTAGATATTGAACACGGTTGAAAGTTGAATAATGCTGCAGCTGCACATGCACATACATACAATCAAAATCCACTTATGTGCTCCCAACATTGCTGATTGGTATCCAGTTATGTGCAAAACACAGGATTTACCAATAAAAGCATTGGGACAAATTCAAGCACTACAAGTCATTTTTTATGCACGTTGTGTGGAGGCAGTTTCACTTAGGCATGAACGTATGTTTAGTATACTCAAGTTTGCTCCATTTGGCCAATCAATGGTTCCTATATGTGAAAAGTGGTCCCATATGATATCCTACATTGCATTTGATCATTTTCACGCTCATTCTCTGAAAAATCTCATTCCTTCAATCAGGGTTTGCCGTACCGAGCCGTACCGCCCGGTACGGGCGGTACGTACCGGTCCGACAAGCTGTCGGTATGCAGACCGCTCTGTACCGGTCCGCACTGTAGCGCACTGTAGCAGTGCTACAGTGCTCGGTACACCCGTACCGTACCGTACCGAGCACGAGTCAAAACGCCGGTACGGTACGGTACGGCGAACCTTGCCTTCAATAGATTGAGATAGTTAATAGCATTTCACATCTAAAAAAGATAATAATGAATGTACTACTAGGCTAGCACAAAAGCAGTGTTCATTATAGTAATAAAGGCTTGCATAAAATGCCTTCTGTCCTAAGTTTGAAGCTATACAATGCATTCTGAGACTGAATGACAATGACTGAATACAACTTAAGATACTTGTTTTAACTCATTTAACAGAGATAACATTACCATTCCCTGATTACACAACAGAATGAGAAAAACCTTGCTCGTGGGCTTGTGGAAAACAGTTGTATGTCCACACATAAAGTAAGATATATTTCTAGATAACAATCATTAATAGCACATATAGTTTGCAATCTGTTGTACAAAGTTCAGACTGTCTAATACATCATTTCCAAAGATAAGATACACATGTAATCAAGCTGAAGTATATCAAGGTATTTGTTGTCAATTCCTCACCAGTAATTATATGATGATATACAAGAAAGTCAAAGAAACAGTATATCACCTCGCCAGTGAATTGGACAGTGGTGTATTTGTTGTCAATTCCTGATGTCCCTTCAAAAACCTAACCACCACAAAAGAATGTCAAATAAAGATATGCCTAAAAATAGCTATAAAAAACAATTGTAGATTCTTTGGTATCTTTAAGAGTATTAAAAAAATAACAAGGTTAATTATTATGAACCAAACTAAATATAGTGGGATGTTTAGACACAATAAGGTGGTGCTCACTCACTATATGGTTAAAACAACAAGAGCTTTAACTCGAAAGAAAGTATGATGAATTATCATATATTGACTTTGACTAGGATTTGACTAGGGGTATTCTGGGGATTTGAATATTGATATTTTTATTTAAACCTAATTAAGAATATATTGATAATATAAATTTTGAGTTTTGGGGTTTAGGGCAAAGGGTTTGCAAGAACGAGTTCAAATCAATTTGCAAAAGCTAGCTTGAGCCGTGCAAACCCAAAGCACAATAAGTACATTTTAAATAACTATGTGAGGTGATCCAGAAGGAGTTCAACCCAATGCAAGCACGCGATTGGTCCATGTGCAGGCACGACATTCAATGGGTAGGCCAAGCACCAGCTCGGCCTATGCATATGTTCGTAGCTCAAGGAGGACATAGATACACAGGCAGGGAGTAAGCACCAGCTTGGCCCACACGTGAGGCTTGACTAAGACTAGGCTTGCCAGCCAAGCGAGCCTAGGTGAGTTCTAGCATGGTCAACCATGCATGCTAACCTAAGTGCCCCAAGCACAACTTAGCCCAAGTCTGACAAGCCAAAGTAGGCCAAACTTGGCACGGTCTAGCGCAGGTGAGTCGTACTCTATGTGGTCCAATCAAGCGAGTCGAACTTAGTGAGGTCTAAACAAGCAACCAAATCTAGTCAAGCAAGCCAACCTATGGTAGCCCAACGGTCAGCATACTGAAATTATTAGGTTGAGTTGTAAAGTTGTGAGCATGTATTTGTAAATTCCAAGGACTAAATTGTGAATTCATCATAACTTTTTGATTTTTGGCATTGTATTCCTCATGAAATTTTAGATTCTTTTTAAACTAATGATTTCAAGAAATTTTGACATGTTATTACCGATTGATATTTCTTTTGACAATCACTTATTGCATGATACATCTAGTGATGATTTAATTGTAAATGAATACGAAGATCTGTTGTAAGTGTCATACAAACTTTTGATGCATGCATAAATGTTTTATCAGAAATTATCATACTTCATGTGAGAAATTGAAATAATGCATTGAAAATGAAGATCATACGAATTTCAGCTGCGTAATAATGGACTTGCAAGTGAAGGTAGTTTATGGATGACACAACCTTCTTGTCAAAAGAGTTTAGGCTGCATTAAGGAACACATTTGTATTTTTAATGTGCAATTATAGAAAGGGGTTTAAGTGAATGTACAATTGTGGAATGCTTCGAGTGTTTGGTAAACAACAAATGAAAATTGCATTCTAAATGCGCATTGAAGTGTTGTTTGGTAAAATTGTATTTTAAAAGTCCACTGAATATTTTGTGACAAATGTACCCTTTTAATATTTTTAAAATTTATTCAAAATGAATACATATTTTTTATTTAGATTAATAAATAAAATAAACAAATGAATGTATGTAATCTTATAAAAAAGTTAATATGGCCCAAATATATAATAAATAAATAAATGTATCATGTAAATAAATATAAAAAAATCTTTATAAATAAATAAATAAAATTTCATCTTATAGAAAATATATATTATATTAATTTCTCACTAAATCATTTTGATAATCATATGATTTTATATAAAGTCATGGGGTACTTTTGAAATTTGAAATATTACATTAGCATCCTGCAAATACTGAAATGCTAATAATACTATCCCGATGTAGCATCAGCATTTGATTATTTTCAATGTAGCATCCAAGCCAGATGCGATTTGAAAAACATTTACCAAACATCAATTCACAATTGAAATATATATTGAGCTCTCAATGCATATTTAAAATGTGTTCCCAAATGTACCCTTAATTATATTGTGGCATAACACGTATCATGTACCACAGCATTAAGCCTTATAAGATGAACTCAAGGCTACTGGTCCTCCATTATAATTCTATTAAAAAAGGTTGCACTTGTTAAATTAAAAGCTTTGGGGCCCCTCACATTAATGATTCAAGTCCATTATGTTTTTCTCCTCCACTTATCATCCAATACCTCACAGTGACTACCTTCAATGCCAACTGAATACTTATAAATCTCATTTCCCACCGTGGTGAACTCTCTAGGCTTTCTCTTGTTTTATGCTATTCTTCCAAATTTCCAGCATGACCCTTCTATGGTCCTAAGAAATGACACAAAAGACCTATCCAAGCCTTTTTGTGGGTTCACTAACTTACTCGATCTGATACTGTTTACTGACCAAGTCAAAGATTTGGGAGTATGGAACATTTCACTTTTTCCGAACCGTCCCTACCTAACGAAGCTACACTTGCATGGATAGGGATAGTCCAGTTCATGAGGCTCCCACCAAAGCAAGGCCTAGGGTGGGTCATCGTACACATTTTTACCCTTATATGCAAAGAATTTCTTTCCATGACTAGAACCTAGTTATCTAAATTATGCACAGATGAAAAGTCTAGCACATGTTAGCTGTCTAAGAACAAGGAATGACAATGCATGGGCCTATCCATACAATTTCCTCAGCTTGGTACATATTTTACTAAAATTGAAGTTGCTAACATGATAAAAAGATTAATCATTTATATTAACTCTTCTGTATCATTTATGTGGATTTCAGAAAGAAGCCTGATACTCTTCATCAAAACAGATCAAGTTGATGATGCCTTCACTGTGACTTTTAGCATGACGTACAAGGTTTGTGCTTTTTGTTTAAGCGTTTCTGCCATGGGTACAAATTCCTAGGTTTATAGATCAACCCCTCAAAACTAAGGGACAATAGATCTAAATAGCTCATAACAACTTCAGATACATATTTCCTTTAAATCCCAAGTCAAAAGTTGGCTTAGGTTATGTTTCTAATTTAAGTTTCATATTTACTATGTTTTATTTCTTGGTAAATCCCATCATCGCATCAAAGTTGGCTTCTAAAATTCTGACACAACATTTGCCTCATTTATTCAATGACATCACTGTGTTAAGTGTGCAGGTACATCAAATCTGACTTTTCAGAAAACAAGCCAGGCAATAAATGTATCTAAAGACATGATAAGGGGAAAAAATAGGTATAATGAACTGGAGAAACAGAAAAACAATTTCACAGATCATGACACTGTAAAACAAAAAAGAACAATGAAGTCTGGAATGGCTTGCATAAACAGATCTAATATAAAAGTTCATATTCAGTTTTCTAGGATCAGGAAATATAAGTAGTGCAGAGATCTAAATGAGAATGAATGAAAGGGCTGATTGCTATAAAAAGGAGTCACAACCTACAAGTCACACACAGGTCCAAACTGACCTGCACAGAAATTCTAAAGTAAAAGCATTTACAACAATAAAAAATCAACAAGTATTAGCACCTGAACAACAGCTTTTTCACCATCAACTTCAAGGACCTGACCACGCCGGATGGTGCCATCTCCTAATCGTATATTAACAATCTCCTGATACTTGGGACCCTGAAAGGAATTGATTATTGTGAGCAAAAAGTGCACAGAAAACTCATACAACAAGAATTTAGTGCACAATTTCAACAAAAAAAAAAGATAAAAGAACAGAAAATCAATTGATAAATAAGGCAGAGTAGTACCTTCACTTTATCCAAGATGACCAAAGGTCCTGCAACTCCAGAGACAGTCCTGTACTCTGTGTCACCAAAAAGATTATATCATAGGTACTTTATCATATAGCATAATTACAAAAACACATAGAAGCTCCATATGCATCATGATTCATTTATACAATCATGATAGAACAGGAGAAAAAAATCAGAATAATCACCTTTCTCTAGTTTGAGGACCAAAGATAAGAGACAGTTCATTATGACAATAGATTAACTCATCCAAGATGTATTATGAGACTGACAGCCTCACTCCCTGGACTTGATTACCATGTGGTCCAGGCAGGTCAAATGGAGCCCGGAGGCCCTAAATTCTGTCCAAACAGCAGTGAGGCATCCCAGACCCAATCTGACCATTGCTGGGACTTAACCGATTCTTTTTCTAACCCAAATAGGAACTCAAACACTATTCAGGTTGAAAGAGTACAGATACCATTTTTTTCTCCCAATTTAGAAAAGGGAAAGAGAGTGATTGGCTCTCCAAGCTTCAGAAAGAGGGTCAACCAACAGGAGAGACCTTCAAGGCCATCTGGCAGAGTATGGATGCAAGAAATTCTGTTTCATTCTGAAAGTTAAGCCAAATGTAATTATGAATAGATCATAAAAGTAATATAAAAGAAGGTTTTTCAAGCAAGGAATTAAATTTAGATTGCAATAGTTGGCCATTTGACTGGTAAGTTGTCTGGTCTAGGCCAAAGTGAGGCTCACAAATGGTAAGCATACAGCACCAGGTTTACCAGGAAGTAAGCAAATGGTAGGTACCTTTTCCATTCTTTTAATTTTGAAAAGTGTCAACATTTTTTTCCCTTCTTCTTCTCTTTCTTTCTAATTTTCTGTCAGGCTCTTTGGCACCCCACCTTAGCCTACTTCTCGATGTCAGTGTCAACTCCTCGTCCTCCACTTCACTGTCACCTTCTCCTTGCTGCCTTGCTGCCACCTCCTCCCACTCACCTGGACTGCCACCTCCTCCTGCTCTCTTCTCTCTCTTTCTCTTTTTATCTCTGGTCCAAGTGACACCAAGCAGTATCGAGTATCAGCAAGCCTCCCAACACGGCTACCATATGGTCCGACCACCAGCTGGTATCAGTACCAAACCAAAATTTAACCCACGATTACAATTATACCGATTTTAAAAAAGCAATTAAAAAATCTGCATCCGGTTCCTTGGTACTGAAAAAATGGTTAGGAGGATATAAACATAGTTCAAATTTTAAAGTTTCACTACGACAATATAGGAAGTACCAATGTACTATATCAGCGTCTGATATATGAATGATATAGATAATCAAGGTTCACAATAGTTAACATAAAGAACAGGACTAATGCGCAATATCTCCAAGAAACTTGTTGCCCCTAGCACTATAAACAATTCACAACATGTCGGCTTCTTAAAGAACAATACAGCCATAATGCCCCAACTATTTGGGGTCTGTTTCCGAAAGAACCATATTTTACAAATAGATGCTAATGTGCCTATTTAAAAGTTCATTCCCAGACCAAACATCAATAAATTGGATAGTTTTATTAGATAACCCTATATCCTTATTCTCAGAGTCTAGTGCAGAATTTTATTTAAATATATATTCTACATCATGCAAATGGAGGGCCTAATATAGTTAAGTCCTCAATCACTCAAGAATCCATACATTCCACATCAGTGTATGGACAAGCCTCTCAAGAATAGGTATAGGTTCAAAATTTCGGCAAACTTGTTAATCAAGAAAAGCTAAAAACACATCGAGTTTCTTGATATGGATTGTTAAAGGCATCAAAATGCATGGATCAACATTAAAAAAAAACCCAGCTGGAACAACAAGAGACAGATGATCAGATATTATGTACCCATGCCAATCTCCAATGATCCTTCCTCCACGTCAATGCTCTTCTTTGACTCGCCCATGCTGACTACCTGAAGACGGTTAAAAGCAACTATTCTATCATCTTTTTTTATAACAAATTCACATATTCAGAATCAAACCACAGACAAAAGAATCAAATTTTTCCACTTTTTAAGTAGAGAAAACAAGATTCCAAGGACCCTATGGCTCAGGCAATTACTGATATCTTGATATAAAAATAATAATAAAAATGCAAAGCAAATTCATCAATTTCATGACAAGCCAACACTTCCAACACCATCTGAATGAACCAAATGCATCAAATCACCCTCCTCATATAAAAGCTTTGCACCATCGGGCCTTGTAAGGAGAGAGCAAAAAGAACTACCGGCCGATCTACTTCCAACTCAGATTAAGAAGATACTACAGCCTAAAAATTGAGATTGCATCAAATGTGGACACGACGAAATCGAAAAACTACAACACCTAGATTTCGCAGTTAGAGATCAACTTAATTTATAATTTACACTTCTATCAAGATCTTAGTCTATGATAATAACGCGAGAAATTTCGATCAAAAGATAGCGCCCTAAGAACAAAGCGAAAAACGCAATCAACCGAGTGAAACAGATGAAATCAAACGACAAATTCAACTACCAAAACAGCCTCGTACCTCAGATTGGATCGAGGAGTAAAAAGAGGGGGGAAACGACGGAAGGGTGCAGAGGCGGCCGTAGATGAGGACGAAGCAGAAAAATCAAACGAAAACGAACATTTTAGAGCTTCTACGCCGCTCGCAGGATCAATCATCGGGCGAGGGCCGGTGCCCGTCCAATTGGTGCGCGACAGCCGTCGGATGGGAGGTGGACGACCAACTTGATGATCGAGACCGTCCGATTGATGAAACAGGTGATTCAACTCGGCCGACTCGTTTCATATTAGTGCACCCTCTCATCACCTTTCGTTGTTTCCGATCCGAGTCTCGTCTTCCCCATTCCCCTCAAGACTCTGTTTCTTTAGTTCTGCCGCTCCATCTGATACACGCTGTTGCTTTGTGTAACTGAAGACGCTTTTGAGTTGGGAGAGATTATTATTTTTTAATAAGAATTAAAATATTATATTATATCAAAGTTTCGATGTTCGTTCTACGATATTATATATTGAATGATATACTGTTCGATATATATATATATATTTATTTATTTATTGTCCCGTGAAAAAAAGGAAAAAGAAAACTCCGTAAGGATTAAGTTAATTTAACCAATAATCAAATTGGGGACAGGTAACCGATGGACCCCACTCCGAATAAGATGCCAAGCTTTTAAGACTCAGATAACGTGATCGATGTCACCCAATCGTGGTCCGATGATAGCCAATCATTTTCGGACACAATTAAACTAATAAGAGAGGCGCTAATGATGCCAGAATACGCATGTGCCGTTCGTCTCTCCCACAGCGTCCACACGAGATCTTCCGACCACCGTCCAAAAACCACCATAAATTTCGCGGTTCGGATCGTCGGACCACCGTCTGATCATTATCGGACGTCTTCACTTTGACAAGACACGTGGAAATACCACATCACTGTTCACTAAATGAATTATGGGAGAGCCCACCGAAACTAAGATGTTCCAGCGAACCGCCCGATGATGAAGACGCCGTTTTGATGTACACGAATCTTAAGACACGGCTCGGACTGATCGCTTAGTTTCATAGGGTGACGTCAGTCTCCTTGCCGTTTGACGGTGCACGGCTCACAAAGCACTGATTAGCTTTGGTTCTATGAGAGGGCATTATTATTATGGCTTATAAAATGCCAAACGGAGTAGACCTCGTTTCGCCTTCTCGTCTCTGTAGATCTCGCTTTGGCTTCTAACGCTTGCTTTGGGGAAGGGAGAGGAGGAGAGCGAGGAGGACGGCGGCGGCGATGGCGGAGCAAGTCTACGCTTCGGCGAAGCCCAACCACAACCCTCCCCAGGCCCTCAACGGCGGCGGCGGCGGGGGGCAACCCTCCTTCCCGCCGACGAAGGGCCAGACATACGGTGCAACCCTCCCGGCCTATCGCCCCCAGCCGCGGAAGCCGCCGCCTCGCCGCCGCAGGCGTCGGGGCTGCTGCTGCTCCTGCTGCCTCTGGATCACCCTCATCGTGGTCGCCCTCGTCTTTCTCGCCGCCATCGCCGCCGGCGTCTTCTACCTCATCTACCACCCCCGTCGCCCCACGTTCGAGGTCGGCGGCCTCCGCCTCGCCGCTTTCAACGTCTCCGCTGCCGGGCACATCACCTCCCGGCTCGACCTCAACGTCACCGCCCGCAACCCCAACAGCAAGATAGCCTACCTCTACGACGCGGCCTCCGTCTCCGTCTTCTCCGGCGGGGTGGACATCGGCGATGGATCCTTCCCGGCTTTCGTCCAGAATGGGAAGAACACCACTCTGCTTGCCACCACGCTGTCGGCCGGGGCCCAGACGCTGGACTCGACGGCAGCGTCGGATCTGAGGAAGAAGACCAGTCTGCCGCTGGAGATCGATGTGGACACCAAGGTCGGGGTAAAGATCGGGGGACTAAAGACGAAGAGGATGGGGATCCACGTGCGATGCGTGGGGATCGACGTCGGCGTGCCCAAGGGTAAGGCAGCAGCGCCGGTAGCCTCCCCCAACGCGGACTGCAAGGTCAAACTCCGCATCAAGATCTGGAAGTGGACCATCTCCTAGTCCTAAAACCGTACCCATCCCCAAAGACAGAAACCATCATCATTACTACTGTGATTATTATCAGGAAATTGGAGCGGAGGAGACGAAAGTTAGAACAGTGTAAAAGTAAGGAAATTTGGGTAAATTTGATGCTTGGAAGAAGTATTGTTGAGTCGTGTTTTGTTGTAATTGTACCTTTTCTTTTATTTTTCTTTTACTCATAAGTTTTGGAGTTTTATATTTTTTGCATGTGGGATTGCTTGGTGAGGCTTGACAAATAGTGAATGATAATAATAATTAGAATGTGCTGGATCGAGCTGGACTTCGTCTGCAGTGGAACCTCTTTAGTCTCCTTCGTTGGAGTGGTTGATGTCTGACAAAAGAGGGTGAGGTGTGATGTTTGACTCATTGACTGGATAGCGATGCTTCATCTGTGATGCATGTGGGACGCTTAGTTTACCTATGGATTGAATTTTGATGAATTTGTGCGTCACGACATCCGTAATATATGACGCATTTAGTATCAAGAATATGAAAATGTTAAGTTCACTAAGTGCATATGTACTAAATATACAATGAAAGGTAAAAAACAAAAAAGAATCATTAATGAAGTACATGATTCTTCGTGGACAGGATAAAATGGTTGCATTGGAAACACTCGTCCTATTGATCCATACTGATCTTAATCTTATTTTATGTCATGGCTTATTAATTATGATTTTAATATAGAACTGTTAAGGAGTCATTGATCGAAGTATATGAGATATTTAAATCCTCAATTCTAATGAAATATGAATGTTTTAAGTGTTGACTAAAAAAAGTTTAGTTTATTAAATAAAAAATTTTAAATCACATGATATTCAAATAAAATATCATTGACGTCTTAATTAGCTCGACGTAGTCCAAACTTGTGTATACAAAAATATTGATATATTCGGGATGAAAATACGATGCTCATAATGTGATATCTATATAAAGATCAAGGTAGAGAGGGATTCTTTAACTCGGTCACTCTAACACTCAAGTTAGTAATCCGAGATATCTAAATATTGATTCAAATAATTCCTAAAAGAAAAAATTAATATGTTTTTATACCTTTAAGAATGAGAATGAAGTTTGAAATTATCTTCATTATCATAAAAGAGGAGAAGAAAATTTATAATTACTTTTATTATCATAATAAATGAGAAAGAAGTTTATGTTTTTGTATTTTGAATTTTTGTTTAAGTAGGCAAATAAGTGGAGGATAATTTAGATCTCACGTGGTAATCAACTGACGACAAATTCTTTGCGGAGAGGTTTAAATGGTTGCATTGGGAAATACTCATCCTATTGATCCATACTAATTTTAATCTTATTTATCATGGCTTTGTTTTGCTTATTAAATATGATTTTAATATAGAACCGTTAAGGAATCATTGTTTGATCCATGTATGTGAGATATTTCAATCCACAATTCTAATGAATATGAGTGTTTTGGAGTTGATTAAAAAAATAGTTTATTGAATATAAAAATTTAAATCACATGATGTTAGAAAAAAATATTATTAATATCTTAGCCCAATATGGTTCAAAATTATGTATGCAAAAATGTCTGTTTTCAAGGTGGAAATATTGTGCTCATAATATGTCACCTATAGAAAGATCGAGATTTCTTGATCTGATCTCTATGACGCTCATGTTAATAACCCAATATATCTAAATGTGGATTTAAGTAATTCTTGAAAAGAAAAATTTAGTCATTTTTTCTTAAAGATAAGAAGGAAGTTTATGATTCTTGCCATAAAAGAAGAGAAAGGAGTTTAATATTGCCTTCCTTATCATAAAAAAGAGAATAAAATTTATAATTACTTTTATTGTCATGAAGAAGGAAGCTTGTATTTTCTTATTTTAAAATTTTATCTAAATTCTTCATCGAGAGGATAAAATGATTGCATTATGAAACGCTTATCCTATTGATCCATACTAATCTTAATCTTATTTTACATTATGGCTTTATTTTTCTTGTTAATTATGATTTTAATATAGAAACTATTAAGGAGTCATGATCCATATATATTAGATATTTGAATCATCAATTCTAATGAAATATAAGTGTTTTACGAGTTGAGTAAATAAAAATTAATTAATTGAATAAAAAAATTTAAATCACACGATATTAGGAGAAAATATCATAGACATCTTCGTTAGCTCGATGTGGTATAGACTTGTGTACGTAAAAATGTTGGTATCTTCGGGATGGAAACACTATCCTATGATGTTTCACCTACACAAGGATCAAGATCAATGGTTCAAGTAGTTCTTAAAAAGAAAAAGTCAACCCCTTCCCTAAAATATGTTTTTATACCTTAAAGGAAGAAAATAAAGTTGATGATTGTATTCCTTATAATAAAGGAAGAAAATTGAAGTTTGAGATTGTCTTTCGTGTGAAAGTTTATGATTAGGAGGATAACTTGGATATCACATGATATATCAACTAATGATGGATTCACTATTCCATGATGATATTTAGGATATCTATAGTATCATGATTATTTAGGATTTAATTTTTTATGTTATTTGGATATGTGTAAGATAATATTACCCTTAAAATAAAAAAATTAAATAATTATTTTAATTATATATATTTTTTACAAAGGGCAAGTGACGAAATAAGATCCTCCTCCAAAATCTTAAAATAAACTTTCAAAATCTTTTATCAGCTAACCTAGTTGATAATTTATTTTCTATTATTGTTGGTGAAACCATAATTATAAAAACCAATTTAAATGGGTTAATTGGACCAAAAAAACTAAGATTCAAATTGCACAAATTGATTTGAAAACGATCAATTATTTGAATAACCCACGTGAGCTATAAAACCGAATCCATTAATTTAAATAAGTATCATTTATTTAATACTTAGTATCAAGATATGTAATATCATACCGTACTGGTATTCCGAGGTTGACTCAGTATAATACGATATCGACATACCGAGCGATACATCAGGGTGTATCAAACGATACACTAGGAGTTATCGAACGATTTCCTCTTACTGTAGCACTGTAACATTACTACGTAACACTGTAGTACTGTTACAATATGCTACAGTGTATTATTGTAGTACTGTAGCTTGATCTATTTGATAGTGAGTGATCTGCGTACCGATATACTGTTGGACGGATACATGCCACCCATATCGGATGATATCATTCGAAATTATATACCATTCATTATCACAGTACTCTATCAATTAAAAGTTAGGCTTACCGGAACAAATGAAGCATTGTTTCTCTTCCTCCATCTCTTTCGCTGCCATCTCTCTCTTCGCCCCTCCTCTTCGCAGTCTCTCTTCACCAT